TCACAAGTTCGTGAACTGTCCTTGTATTCTACCAATCAAAATAACCATACATACCACTGGAATAAATAACAGCGGGGCCATGAGTGCTAAAAGCCTTCGGGAGGGGGCCACGAGCCATAAAAGGTTGGGAACCCTTTATGTATGACATAATAATGTTACATATCTCTGGTTCAAATCCCACGCCACTACCTCACCTGGGATGTAAAATATATTGTGATGTCAAACTGGGAATAATTCCGCCCTCCCGAAGATAGTGATCTACATGCCAGTCAATGCTTGTATTTGCCTCGTTTGGTGAAAACGCTTTTTATTATGTATGCACACCATTGCTTTAGGCCCTTTACAAGCAGTCGTTGATTTTGTGTCTTTGGATCCTTCATGTGTGCGTCTAAAAATAGCAAAAGTATCATTATGAAGCGTTTTCTCCGAATAAGGTTCTAGACAAGCAGCAACTAATGAATTTGAAAGCCAGTGTGTTTTTAAAATGATCGTAGTTTTTCCAAATCGAAATTTCCACAAGACAGGGTCTGAAATAATCAAAGAGTTGGGCAGAATTAAGTCTGGCAACTTATTGGATTAAGTTAATATGCCTTTTATATTTTCGAGATCTCTGTGAAGAATTCCGCCTGTTCCTGTCCAATGAACACAGCGATGAAAATCTTGACTTTTGGATCATTTGTGAGAAGTACTGAACCGTGACTGCCTTACTTGACCGATCAAATCTTGCTGAAATAATTTTCCGACAATTCTTAGGAAGTGGAGCTCCTCGAGAGGTAGGAAGATATGTCTATGCTTACAAGGGACTGAAACCTATGGGCAGGGGTTATATTCATTTGGCTAACACAGACAGTTCACGAACTTGCTGACAATTTTCCCCTGCTGACAATTTTACCCAGATGTATTGGATGTTTCCTCGACCCTTGACCCCAGAAAAATTCCTTCCTATACTTTCTATTGGAAAATCTCTGATGTCTTTTTTAAGAGTGTTTTGGACAGTTGGTACTCACAATCTGATTTGCCTGTTTAATAAAAGACTCAACTTTTTGAAAAAATATTCAACCATGTGCGCTACTCATAGGTTACTGGTGTATTCTTTTATACTTGTCTATCGCAACAGGGATTAATTCTTGAATATTGCAACTAACGCTCCTTATAATGACAATTGAGTTATTTGATTTACAACTAATTTTGAAACACAATTTTGGAACACAATATAAAACTGACAAATAGGGGCAAACCACATAAACGAGGCAAAGTTTACACCCATACTTTTATTCCCGAACGAAGCAACTGCAAACATTGCGACTGCAAAACATTGTGATTGTTACAATCAATAGTTGGTCAGTATTGTGGGATTCAGAGGTTTTTGTTGGGACAAAAATACTCTGAAAGAGCAAAAGATGAAACATGTTGCAAGATATTCCCATGGCTGAGTATTAGTTCAGTTAAGTCCTGTCAATAAAGTCGTGTTCGACCATGGCCCTTATATAACAGGCCATTTTGTCAGCTGTCCTTCCCCCTCAACAAATGTTACTGGTCATGTCTCTATATAATTAGGCCGGCCGGCATTGCCAGAGGAATTGAAAATTTTTCAAACGTTGAGCAATATGAGATGTAAATGTTCCATGATTATGTATTTGTTTGCTCTGACCAAGGTTCGAGCAAGCAATTCATTCTGAACTTGTTTTGAAATTGAATTCCCATGAACTGTAAGGAAAATGACTCGAATATGTAGTTTTCTTCTATCACTGTATATTTGTCATATGACAAATTTTTATGGCATTTCGTTACAATCTCTCCAAACAACGCACTAGGCAAGCATTTGTCTGGGCACTCCAGAAATACGTGTACCCATATAGAAGTAACTAATTTTGTTCTCCTAGTTTACATCAAGGGATTCACGCCTATGGGCAGGGGGTATATTCACTTGGATAACACAGGCCAGTCACGAACTTGTAATAGAACTAAAATCGGAATGAAATTATGGCTTAACCCCGGTACACATACTACAGGAGTTCCCTTGACTGATACTTATACTTTGGTACCATGTCCTCTGACCATGAATTTGAATTCTCAAGTTATTGCCCTCTGGATGAGGTGTAGGTCCAATCCAGGGTCGGAAGCTCTACAACCAAGGCCCTCGTCCCCAGAAATCCCACTAGCGCTATGCATAACCTGCTCAATCATGACTGAATTTTAATTGCTGTGATTGCACTGTTATTTTCTTCTTCTTCCCGGTATTTCTCAGTTTGTCACCAATTTGCACATTTCTGATTATTAAAGGCAAATTAATATACAAGTCTCTGTCTTATGCGTGTGTATTACTGCGATGAGCGTTTGCTTACAGAGTTCACTCTGCACTTTTTTGCCTTTCGAGCCTTTTAAAAATTAAAGACAGAATAACAATTAATATAGACGGTGAATGCTTTGGCTTTGATGGATTAGGCGATGTGATGAATAAACCCTAAGATTAACCACTACCCCTGTCTCCCGTCCATGACTGAAAATGGTTAACTCAGCTATTTGTATGAGATGTATGAATAAAGTAAGGATCGAAATATCGGCTCGAATATTTGAAAATTCTGTCTCGAATACCAGCGTATTAAACTCTGCGACCTCGCTTTACGCAAACTTCAAATCCCGTTACAACCTATCACAGTACAGATAAAACAATTGGTTAATATTTATTAGAGCGTCATATTTTATAACCTTTTGTTTACCTTTATATGTTTGCTAATGAATGTAGCGGATACTATGGAGAGTGATAGACGTCATCGAGGGTTAATATGCGAAACAAGGCTTTCTGGATGTGTCTTATAATATCGTTCATTAGTTCGTTGTGTGAGAGGGACTGGCTGCCGTTTGGCTTTCGGTTGAAAAGCGGATATTGGGATCGCATAGTTCGGTTATAGCATAGTTTAGTGATAGCGTACCGGTAGTTGACAGTCTATCAAAATAGGATAGTTTTCATTCATATTTCTTTGAGGCGGGGAAAGCTTATAATTCGAGTTAAGCACGGCTTTATCATCCCAAGTAAGGTATAGAATGGTTCATACATATGGAAAGAATACCTGATTACCTATTTCCATAACCGGAATGCTGACCGGACGAAAGGCGTGGTTTGTCACATGCTTATGGCGCATTGGGGTATTTTTAAGCAAGGACCCATAATATCTATAAGTACGGGCGTGCGAAACTTTTTTGTTGCCCAGGGCGAGTTTATGATAATGATGCTATCTTAACAAATTATAGATGTTGTTTTACATGCGAAAAAATAATTTATAGGTCAAGTATAGATGTATTATATATATGTTTGATATGAGCTATGTGGAACCATAATCTTGATGTCTCAGTACATATCCAATTCGTTAGACTATTGGGGGGTGTTGGGGCTTTAACCCAACATTAGTAATAATCAGCCCCAACTTAATGCTTAACCCAATTGTCCATACCATGATCTATATTGAATTCTAAGACCAGAAACATTGGAGTAGAAACAAGTTGATGATCAGGAAACTTAAAAAAATTTTTTTTCAACTTCATGGCTTTGTAGCCGATATTTCGCAGCTCAGATAAACTTTAGCAACGTTTAAAATAACTTGAACCTAAGACTTGTTTCCAAGATGAGTAAGTATCAAGTATTGTTTATTAGTTTTATTTCAATTAGTCAAGTGAAATATTAAATGCTTAAATTCGCGGCGGTTTTGTATTGGCCTATTCTTGTGACGATAGGTTGACACAATTCAAGTCAGTATTGTCCGGGAATCAGTGGTAAATGAGTCCACAAACAGACGAGAAAAACAGTTGACGGTCAAACATATTACAATGTAATATATAAAAAATTATCTGTGTGACGTCACAGTTATGCGGGTTTGGGAACCGAACATATTTTAAAGTGAAGTTTGGCAAAGGCTTACGATTTGATTCGTCAATTACTCGGGACTTACAGTTCCTTATACACACGAATAGATGAATGCAAATAAATAGGCGCAGTAAAACGTGAGAGCAAATGCTCAAATATTGCAAAGTCTGTAAAATGCTAGGGTTGCTGACAGGTTTAAAAAGCAATACTTTTCTTCTTATGTTCATTTCCCTAGTCTCAAGTGACAGGCTATGCGCCATGTTAGCATGTAAACATATTCAATATTCTTGTTGCAGATCCTTCTCAAATCTCGGGTAAAAGTTCTTCCGAATCAAGCACAGAGGAAAGTAGCAGACAGAGACGAGAGTTGGCAAAAATTCAAGGTAGGTTAGAAATGATTTTAGGAATTTTCCTATCGATATTTCCTAACTACGCACAGATCCTAACTTTGGACAAAACATTTGAACTGGTATACATATCTTGGCTAATATGCGCCGTATATTGCTGATGTTAATTACTATAGCAAGCAATGTTGCTTGTAAATCTATTATCAATTTTTTTAATGTTGCATAAATAAGTTTTTGTCAATAAAACGGAAATTTGCCGAAAAATAACTACCCGCTATTTACGGCGCTGAGTGTCGCTCTTTCCGAAGCTATGCTCGTCAAAATACAACTATTCGCAGAGGGCGTTAGCAATGTACATTATTAATTATAGTGACCGCAAGGTGTCGTATGAGATTAAAGTAAATTTTTGATTCATAGATTCCGTAAATATATTCAGATATCACGCTGCGTCAAAATTTGAGTCAACATCACGTAGATCATTATCGCTTACTTCAGATATGACGTCACAAGCGCCGCGGAATGTTGACGCTGACACCACGGCGAAATTATAGTGTAACAAATTACCCAATAATTTTGGATGGGTTATATCAATGCTAAATATAATTTCTGACGTCATAAAATATTATAAATCCTAGAGAATTCAAGCAAAAGAATTCGACCCAAATATTGCACGCAAGTGAATAATTCTCATGTGATATGATGAATCACCCCTATTTTACATGGATTTTGCTAGAGGTATCGAGCAAAGACTGTTTGAAGTGTGAAACCTTATAAATATGATCTCATCAAACAAAAGAGACAGCTAGCTAACAGCTAACGACTAACCTTAAGAGATAGAAGTGTAATTTGTTTATGCTGATTATTGTAATATATTGTCGGAAGAAATGAAATTGTACAGGTAAACCTTTCTGATCCTTGGCTGTTATATCAAATTAACAGAGATCTCAAACTCAACTGAACACGTAACCTATACTATATTCTGTGTGGAGTCAGATTAATATATAACTAGTCAATTAGTAGTCAGGAAACAAAATTACGCTTCAATAGAAAAGTCTGTAAATATTAGGGTTGCTGATAGTAATGATTTGATTGTTCAATCTCTCAGTGTCAAGTGTCAGCATGTAAACGTATTCAATATTCTTGTTACAGATCCTTCTCAAATCTCGGGTAAAAGTTCTTCTAAACCAAGCCCGGAGGAAAGTAGCAGACATAAAGAAGAGTTGGCAAAGATTCAAGGTAAGTTAGCATAATTTATAGTTGAGTTTTCCTATTAAATAACCTAAAATCTGTGTAAAATATTGAAGGTGCTCCAGAAGTATGCGGACCAAGATGTCGCACAACCTGAATCCTAACCGGTACACACATACTATGTTCAGGTTGTGCGCTATCTTGGTGCGCATATTTCTGGAGATGTCGCACAACCTGAATCCTAACCGGTACACACATACTTTGTTCAGGTTGTGCGCTATCTTGGTGCGCATTCCTATGGAGATGTCGCACAACCTGAATACTAACCGGTACACTCATACTATGTTCAGGTTGTGCGCTATCTTGGTGCGCATTCCTATAGAGATGCCGCACAACCTGAATCCTAACCGGTACACACATACTATGTTCAGGTTGTGCGCTATCTTGGTGCGCATTCCTATAGAGATGCCGCACAACCTGAATCCTAACCGGTACACACATACTATGTTCAGGTTGTGCGCTATCTTGGTGCGCATATTTCTGGAGATGTCGCACAACCTGAATCTTAACCGGTACACACATACTTTGTTCAGGTTGTGCGCTATCTTGGTGCGCATTCCTATGGAGATGTCGCACAACCTGAATCCTAACCGGTACACACATACTATGTTCAGGTTGTGCGCTATCTTGGTGCGCATTCCTATAGAGATGCCGCACAACCTGAATCCTAACCGGTACACACATACTATGTTCAGGTTGTGCGCTATCTTGGTGCGCATTCCTATAGAGATGCCGCACAACCTGAATCCTAACCGGTACACACATACTATGTTCAGGTTGTGCGCTATCTTGGTGCGCATATTTCTGGAGATGTCGCACAACCTGAATCCTAACCGGTACACACATACTTTGTTCAGGTTGTGCGCTATCTTGGTGCGCATTCCTATGGAGATGTCGCACAACCTGAATACTAACCGGTACACTCATACTATGTTCAGGTTGTGCGCTATCTTGGTGCGCATTCCTATAGAGATGCCGCACAACCTGAATCCTAACCGGTACACACATACTATGTTTCAGGTTGTGCGCTATCTTGGTGCGCATTCCTATAGAGATGCCGCACAACCTGAATCCTAACCGGTACACACATACTATGTTCAGGTTGTGCGCTATCTTGGTGCGCATTCCTATAGAGATGCCGCACAACCTGAATCCTAACCGGTACACACATACTATGTTCAGGTTGTGCGCTATCTTGGTGCGCATATTTCTGGAGATGTCGCACAACCTGAATCCTAACCGGTACACACATACTATGTTCAGGTTGTGCGCTATCTTGGTGCGCATTCCTATGGAGATGTCGCACAACCTGAATCCTAACCGGTACACACATACTATGTTCAGGTTGTGCGCTATCTTGGTGCGCATTCCTATAGAGATGCCGCACAACCTGAATCCTAACCGGTACACACATACTATGTTCAGGTTGTGCGCTATCTTGGTGCGCATATTTCTGGAGATGTCGCACAACCTGAATCCTAACCGGTACACACATACTTTGTTCAGGTTGTGCGCTATCTTGGTGCGCATTCCTATGGAGATGTCGCACAACCTGAATACTAACCGGTACACTCATACTATGTTCAGGTTGTGCGCTATCTTGGTGCGCATACTTCTGGAGATGTCGCACAACCTGAATCCTAACCGGTACACACATACTATGTTCAGGTTGTGCGCTATCTTGGTGCGCATTCCTATGGAGATGTCGCACAACCTGAATCTTAACCGGTACACACATACTATGTTCAGGTTGTGCGCCATCCTGGTGCGCATACTTCAGGAGATATCGCACAACATGAATCCTAACCGGTACACACATACTATGTTCAGGTTGTGCGCCATCCTGGTGCGCATACCTCTGGAGGTCCGTAAGACTTGTAGGATGCTTTGGCACATATTATAGGTTTTACTCTCCCGATATAAATATCAAATTCTGTCGCAGTTTTTTTTTTCGAAAAAAGAAAAACAGCGACATCTGGTGAGTGGACAAAACTCCAAGCCAGTTTTTAACTGGTGGTGATATAGGCATAGAGAAACAGCAATAGGATGGGGTAGAAGGGATTATAGTTATGAGGCTTGAACTTTACTGCGGATAAAGTACAGACAGCCATTGTTACGTGATTACCTGCTATTTTTTGAATGTAGCCGAATATTTCTGGATCTGCATTGCCCGACATATTTCCTAACTTCGCACAGATCCTAACTTTGGACAAAAAATTTAAACTGCTATTTATATCTTGGCTAATAAACCCCGTATATTGCTAAATTAAATTATTTAAACAAGCGCTGTTATGTTTATATATATATTATCAACAATTTTAATATTGCGTAGTTAGTTAGGTTTTTATTGATAAACGGAAATTTAGTCAAAAAAAAAAACTACCCGCTATTCAACGGGCCAGAGCGTTGCTCTTCCTGAAGCTATACTCGTCATAATACCATCATTTGGTAGAGGGCGGTAATTATGTATATAATTTATAGAATGATCGCAAGATGTCGAGATTTAAGTAATCCCTAAAATTCTGTTTTATAAATTCCGTAAATTTTATATTTCACGCTACATCAACAGTTACGTCAACTTCCCGTAGAATCGTAGATCATTTTTCTCTCACTTCAAAGATGACGTCAGACTTTGTTTATTCAAAGACGGCGTCGGCGTTCCAATGCAATGTACTATCTTTGTACTATTCCCGTATTTTATTCAACCAAGTATATATTTATATACATAGATTAACATCATGGGCATATAAGTCTTACGTAATCAATGACGGAAATAAATCAAAAATTTAAAAATTAACGAAAAGCGAGAAATTCCAATGTCCATATGTCTACTGACCCAAACAACTAATTATCGAAATTAAGGTCTTGTATTAGAAGAGACAAATATTGAATACAGCCCGAGTGAAAATTTTTATTGGAAGAAAATTTCATTTAATTTCTGACAGAATTCCAGGGACCTCTCTCGATTTTAATTAACGAGGCTGAATTGATGATTATACTTTACAATTGGTCTGGTGTTGTGTTTGGTATAAATTTATTACTTCTAAAGATGAGAGCTTAACATCAACAAATCTATCCGTCGCCAATATTATAACCTTTCAATGACGCAGGGCGTGCTCAGATGTCAAGTAACAACGCCGATTTAACGTCTGATCTTTACGCAACGACGTGGTTACGTCTCCCATATCGAAAACTCTTCCTTTTTTCGTCGCAGTTACGCAGCGATAAAAATGAATGTCAGAAGTTAGGACAGTGAAGGATAATGGTTGAATGTCCAGAAAAATAGATTATTGGACACGTAGGGGACACCTCTGTAAAGCTAGCAGCAAAACACGAAGATGTGACTGACAGAATCGCAGAAAACACCCACGCGTAAAATTAAATGTTCCCAATGATTTTTAAAAGAAAGTGCATATTTTGATTAGGTTCACGATAGCAAATAACGCAAAACAATCACTAACTACACTACTCGTATTGTTAATATATAGTAAACAAGCTAAAGCGACTGTTACAGTGCATAAAAATTTTTTATACTATTTTGAGTGTTGTTAAAATGACTGAATTTTCGTCGTTTAAGACGGTCGTTTCATGAAAACCTCCAATAAAGGCAGCATTGCAACACCATTGGTAAAAAGTAGAAACTTCAAAGATTCGTTTTCATTATGTCAGAACAGTCTCAGCATGTTTTGACTTGGCCATATATAATACTAAACATAGCGTATAATTTTAAATTTTATGCACAATGTATATACAAAAAATTCAAAACTGATTTTGTATTTCATCTAAATTTACTGGATAGTTCATCAAAGAAGATATTTTTCTTTTTGTCACACAACAATAATGCACTTCATTAAACTTAGAATAAGTTGAGGAAAGTCTGAAATACCAAAAAAAAAATTTACGCCCTCTTGTGGATTCTTTAACAAATTTCACAAAATTATCGTTTTTGTAAGGGCGATTTCTCAAAAACCGTCAATGAAGGCAGCACTACGACACATTCGGAGAAAAGCAGATACCTTATAAATTTGATTTCATTATGTCAGAACAGTAGCAGCACGTTTTGACTTGGCCAAATACAATACCAAACATAGCGTGTCTTCAGAATTTTATAAACAATGCAGACGTAACATATTTAAAAATGATTTGGTTTTTCAACAAAATTTACTAGATAATTTATCATTTTACGCCCTATTGTTGATTATTTTCAAATTTTTGAAAAATTATCGTTTTTGAAAGAGTGATTTCTCAAAAACCGCCAATAAAGGCAGCACTACGACAGATTCGGAGAAAAGCAGATACCTTATAGATTTGATTTTAATATGTCAGAACAGTAGCAACACGTTTTAACTTGGCCATATATGATACCAAACCTAGCATATAATTTTCAATTCGATTAACCATGTAGATGTAACATATTTAAAAACGGTTTGGCATTTCAACTAAATTTACTGGATAATTCATCAAATACTTTTCTCTCTTGGTCATACATCAAAACTGTACGTTCAATAAACTTAGAATAAGTGGCAAATCTTAAAATAACAAAAAAAAAAGATTTTACGTCCTCTTGTGGATTTTTTTCGGAATTTAAGAAAAATATCGTTTTTGAAAGGGCGATTTCCCGAAAACCGTCAATAAAGGCAGCACTACGACACATTCGACACTACGACACGACACATTCGGAGAAAAAAAAAGATACCTTGTAGATTCGATTTCACTATACCAGAACAGTAGCAGCACGTTTTGACTTGGCCATATATAATGCCAAATATAGCTTATATTCCCTTATATTCCCAAATATAGCGCATATTCTCAATTATTTAAATAGCGTAGATGTTCACATATTTTAAAAAGATTTGGTATTTCAAATAAATTCACCTAATAACGTAATATTCCGTTTTATTACTTTTTCAAACACACACAAACTTGGAATAAGTTGCAAATTGTATAAAACAATGAAAAAATGTCTTACGCCCTATATAATATTATTT